TGTTGGATTCCCCTAGAACTGGAGCCATGAACTGGTTGTTAGCTGCCATATGGGTACTGGGAATCAAACCCGGGCCCTCTTTAAGCGCAGCTAATGCTCTTAACCCCTAAGCCGTCTCTCCAGCCCCTAGGATTTTTTTAAGAACTTGGGGCTGAAGAGATGGCTCAGCGGTTAAGAGCACTGACTGCTCTTGCAGAGGACCCAGGTTCAATTCCCAGTACCCACATGGCGCCTGCGAACTGTCCTTAATTTCATTTCCTGGGGAATCCAAAGCCCTCTTCTTACCGCCACAGCATTGCACAACATGGGCGTGCAAGCAATACATTCATACACATAAAAAAATTTTTTTAATTAAAAAAAAAAAAACTTGGCTGGGAGTGGTGGCGCATACCTCTAATCCCAGCACTTGGGAAGGCAGAGGCAGGCAGATCTCTGTGAGTTCAAGGCCAGCCTGGTCTACATAGTGAGTTCTAGAACAGCTGGGGGTACAGGGAGACCCTGACTCCAAAAGACCAAAAAAAAAAAAAAAAAAAGGGGGGCTGGAGAGATGGCTCAGCAGTTAAGAACACTGGTTATTCTTGGAGAAGATCCGGGGTCAAATCCCAGCACCCACATGGCAGCTAACAACTGTCCGTAACTCTAGTCCCAGGGGATCCGACAGCCTCTTCTGACCTCCACACAGGTGCACTTACCTACACGCAGGCACTACACACATATACATCAAATAAAAACAATAAATTTTTTTTTAAACTTGTATATTTATTATTTGTTCAGTTGGCTCATGGGTAAGGAGCTAGTGAAGTATTTTATATTAGAAGCATGCTTAGGATATTAAGAAAATCAGTGCCAAAAGAGTTTCATAATCTAATGGTAAACTACATCAAAATCTACTAGAATCTTAATCTACTACTTACTACTAGAAGTCTTAAGTTATATGGAAACATTGAGAACATGTACAACTCAGACCACAAGTATTTGTATAGACATAAAAACTAAAGATGTTTCAGTGAATCATAAATTTAAAAATCATATTAAATATAAATTGTGTTGTCTGCTGCTTTAGAAATCTTAAAAAGGCAGAAGACTCCGTCCTGCGCACAGAGAAAGAAATAAAAGATACTGAAAAAGAAATAAAGGATTTAACAGCAGAACTAAGAAGTATTGAGGACAAAGCAGCAGAGGTCATAGAAATTACAAACGCTGCAGAGGTAAGATTTATTTCTGTATTATAAAGGAGTTGATGTTTGAAGGAGTTTAAAGAGTTGGGGTTATAAGTTAAATTTTGCATAACTTTAAACTTAGTAAATACTAAAGATGAGAACTGTAGCTGTGAATTAAATTTTTTGAAAAGAGATTGGTAACTGAATTTATGTAATGTAAAAATACTTGTTCTTCCATTTGGGAGGAGCATATTTGTAACAATTCTTGATTTTTTTAGGCATCCTTACCAGAGATCCAGAAAGAACATCGTCATCTACTCCAAGAACTAAAAGTTATTCAAGAAAATGAACATGCTCTCCAAAAAGATGCACTTAGTATTAAGTTGAAACTTGAGCAAATAGATGGTCACATTGCTGAACATAATTCTAAAATAAAATACTGGCAAAAAGAGGTGAGATTGCTGCCTTTTTACTAACTTATTGTGACAAAGTATTTGGGGAGGGGAATGTTTTTCTGGATTTTGAGATAATTGATTCTCAGTTCCATGATATTATTTCTCCAGTTTATAAGGGATTTAATGACCAATATATAATTTACTTACACACACAGATATCAGTCATTACAATAGGGCAAGTACCTTTTTACCCCAGTACTGTTGTAAAAAAATCAATTAACAAAATAGTTCCTATTGTTTTCATAGCTATGTAATTTTTCATGTTGATTTTAAAAGCAAACTGTAGTGTTGCTTTCTCATCTAAATTCACTTAGATTTCAAAAATAAAGTTGCATCCTGTAGAAGATAATCCTGTTGAAAAGGTTTCAGTTCTAAACACAGAGGACCTTGAAGCAACCAAAAATCCAGACTCTATAACAAATCAAATTGCACTTTTGGAAGCTCAGTGTCATGAAATGAAACCAAACCTTGGTGCCATTGCAGAGTATAAAAAAAAGGTATGAGCAAACTGTGTATTCGGAATAAAAATTTGCTTAGCCCCTAGCCTAAATTTAAGACCTTTAATTTTATATGAGCAGTATTATTTCACGTTTGTGTACGAACAGGTTTGTCTTACAATCTTTTCACAGGAAGAATTATATTTGCAACGAGTAGCAGAATTGGACAAAATTACTTCTGAAAGAGATAACTTTAGACAGGCATATGAAGATCTTCGAAAACAAAGGCTGAATGAATTTATGGCAGGTTTTTATATAATAACAAATAAATTAAAGGAAAACTACCAGATGCTTACTTTAGGAGGGGATGCTGAACTAGAACTTGTGGATAGTTTGGATCCTTTCTCTGAAGGAATCATGTTCAGGTTTGTGAGAAAATTTGAATCCTACTGTTAAGTACCTCTATTTTCTTAATATTCCTTGGGAGTGAGTGTGAAGGTTGGAGCTACAACTTGTCTTACTTGGTGAAAAATACTAATTTTATAATTTGCAAATTTCCTGCATAAATTATGTGCAAAGTATTGTAAAATATGTCTAGTTCATCTTTAAATTTTTTTTTCGAAACTGGTCAAGAGAAAATAGCTAGTAGCCTACTGTTTGTACGTGTTCCTAATCTTCCAATAACATTTCTTTAAAAATATATAGTTAAAAAAGGGGGTTATAGCCGGCATGGGTTGTACACATGTGTAATCCTAGCACCCTGGTGGTTTAGACAAGAGGGTCACAAAAAGCTAGCCTTGGCTACATACTAAGATTGTCTCAGAAAATTTAAAAGTAAAGCAACCAAACCAAAAGTTCGTATTTATGAAGTAAGCAAGCTAGATTTCCCAAGGAGTAAAGTGGTTAAGTCAATTATAGGGAACATTTCATGAAATCTTTTTGGTTTTCATTTGAAATCATTAGTTTTCCAATGAATTACATTGATTTTTCCATAATTACTGTAGTGTTCGGCCACCTAAGAAAAGTTGGAAGAAGATCTTCAACCTTTCAGGAGGAGAAAAAACACTTAGTTCATTGGCCTTAGTATTTGCTCTTCACCACTACAAACCCACTCCTCTTTATTTCATGGATGAGATTGATGCAGCCCTTGATTTTAAAAATGTCTCCATTGTTGCATTTTACATATACGTAAGTAATCCCTTTGATTTGGAAATTTTGTGATTTCCTAAATTTTACATGGAATTAATTTTCTTGGGTTTCTTGCTATCAAGGTTTTGTTTTGGTTTTTTTTTCCCCTATTTTAACTCCATTTGTGTGGTATCAGAGCAGGCTTATTTAAACCGAAATGTGTCCATTTTTGAGAGGTAAAATATCAATTGATAATGCCAACTACTGGCAGGATCAGAAGCCCAGATTTTCTTTCTAGATCTTTTCTAGTAGGTATCTAGATGGCTATGCTTCCCCAGAATACAAATTCCTCTCAAACTCAACTTTCATGAGTTATCCATGCAATCATTACTAGACATGTTAATCATTATTTTGAAATCACTGCCCAAAAACTGTGTAAGGGGAAAAAACTTAGGAGATTTACCTGTTACTTTTTAATATTTCTAACTACTTCTTTCTTACCTTGTAGGAGCAAACAAAAAATGCCCAGTTCATAATAATATCTCTTCGAAATAACATGTTTGAGATTTCAGACAGACTTATTGGAATTTACAAGACATACAATATAACAAAAAGTGTTGCAGTAAACCCAAAAGAAATTGCATCGAAAGGACTTTGTTGAATTTTATACTGAAGATTCTTCTATTTGAATTGGCACAGATTTGATGTTTGTTTCAATCTGTTAAGGACTGAGTTGTATAAAATGTTTTCCTAAATTGTATGACTAAACTGGTTTCTATTTTACGCTTAGAGTCTATAGAGTCATAATGTATAACAATATTTTCCCCATCGATTTCTAGATTATAAAAGAAGTGAGGTTTGGCTTAGTTGAGGGTTACTTTTTTTAGTTTTTTTGTAGGCCGTGTCTCCCTGCGTTACTCACCTGGCCTCAAACTCTGGATCCTTCCACTGTAATCTACATAATCACTTAATATCCCACTACCACGCCCAGCTGTCACCGAGTTCCAGGTTCAGTGAAAGATCTTGTCTTGAAAGGTGGAAGAGAAATTGAAGATACCCAGCAACCACCTCTGGCCTCCACGATGCCTAAACTGTTTTGTAGGTCAGAAATGCCCCAATATACTTAATTGTACTGTTTCAAGAATATGCATTAGAATTGCCAGGAGTGGTGGGGCACGCCTTTAATCCCAGCACTTGGGAGGCAGAGGCCAGGACAGCTGGGGCTACAAGGAGACCCTGTCTGAGAAAAAAAAAAAAAAGTATGCATTAGAAATATTTGGCACCAGGCATGGAGGTAGAGGCAGCAGGAAGGCAGATTTAAGCCAGCTGAGTCTACACAGTGAGTTCAACTAGACAGGGCTACAAAGTGACACTGTATCTCAAAAAAAGGAAAATTTTTAAAGTAAGTGAAAAATGTTAATTTCTAGGTCTCTGTCCTAAGGAATTATAATCAAATGCCTCAGTCAATGAACCATTACTCATAAAGCCATGATAATGTAAATATATTAAGTGTGAATTTAAATAAAGCAAGATCTGAAATTTGAAGTACTGTCATTTGTTTTGAGATTACCTAAGGTAAAAGCAGAAAATGCTACAAATATAACCCTTTTTCATTGGTGAGAGAAGTGAAATTACATTTTTTTTTAAATATTTTTATTTTATGTGTATTCATGTATTGCCTGCATATGCACCCGTGTTGTACAATGCCTGCAGAGGACAGAAGATGTTGGATCCCCTGGAACTGGAGTTAACAATTGTTAGCTGCCATGTGGGTGCTGGCATTCAAACCCAGGTCTTCTGCAAGAACAGCCAATGTTAACCACTGAGCCATCTCTTCAGCCCCTGAACTTAGATTTTAATAACCAGTATCATAGAGTTCTGTACTAAATGTTCAAGTCACAATAATCAGAACCCGTAAGAAAATATCAAAGCTACATCTTATCAAGTCATTCAAACACAAGTAAATTAACCATGTTTATTAAAATGTTACACATAAAACTCAAAGATTTGAAATTGTACAATTTTGTCCTCCCAATAAAATTTTTTTAGAAGGGGGCTTGTGTTAACAGGCATACATTTTTTTTTTTAGCTATAAACCATAAGCTGAACCTAAACAACATTAATCTTAGTCTATTCAGGTTCCTTAAGCATATATATACTGATACAAATGCTAACATGACCCTGCATCATACTTCTGTATGGCTACTCATCTGTAGAGTTTAATGTCTGTGTCAGACATAATAGAGAACATGTATTTTTCTCCTTGTCAGTATTTACATTTAAAAACAGCATTCAAGCCAGGTGTGGTGACGCATGCCTTTAATCCCAACACTGAGTGACAGGCCAGCACTGCCTCAAAAAGGCCAAATAAGAGCATTCATGATTTGACTAAAATACGTGTATTTGTTAAAAACTGAAATGTTTCTCCCTTTCAAATGTTCTCAGTTAATTGTGATCATCAAGACTTGATCTTAGGGATAAAACTTAAACTCCTAAAGTCTTAACCATCTGAGAGTTTTAACCTTGAAGATAGTTTTATTTATAATGAATCAGTAGGCCTAATCTCTGAAATTAGGTAAGGCTCCCAGAGGTGATGCTCTAACAGCAGCCCCTCTGGGGTTTCTGGAAAGCAAATCAAGTTTGTAGTCAAGATTTCCTAGGCAGTAAACCAAAGTCCTATTGCAAGCATCAAAAACTCCAGTCACTCTTAAGGGAGCGAACTAAAGGCTCTGACTTAATGAGCTATTTTAACAAAAAGTTAAAGGAATGCAAGATTAGCCAGGTATGGTTCACAGCTGTAATCCTAGTATTTGTAAGGGCTGTTGCAGGATTCCAGTATGTTCAAGGGCTACAAAGGACCATCTCAAAAAAAGAATGTAGCTAGGCGTGGAGGAACAAGCCTTTAATCCCAGCAAGCCAGAGGCAGAGGTAAGTATCTGAGATGAAGGCCAGCCTGGTCTACAAAGTTCAGGTCATCTATGACTACAAGGTCTCAAAAAACCTTCAGAATATTTGACAGAAATTTTAAGATGAATACATGATACCAAAGTCTTGAAAATGAAATCACACACGAATGTCAATTTTTAGCTAAGAACTGTTGGACTGATAACGACTAAAACACTACAAAACCAAATTTTTGTTTTGTGGTGCTGGAGACTGTGCTAGGCAGGGACTCTACCACTGAGCTGGGATTAAAGGCTTGCAACCACACCCAGTGACCTCTAGACCTTTCTTTTAACATGAGTGTGGGTATGTGTTTTGAGATGGGATCCTACTGATTCCCAGGCTGACTTTGACCTGGATTCTCTATCCTCAACCTCCCAAGTAGCTAGGACCTCAGGTATACCTAAATTACATACACCCAGCTCCTAAATTCAGTCATACAATAAATATAAAGTATGGATTAGACATTGTCATTGTTCCCTGGTACTTGGTTTATCCAGAAGCAAAAGCTTTACTTGGGATGGTTCATGACAAACACATTCGCACTCTTAAATCTAAAACAGATAAGAGCGCCAGGCATGGTGGCACACACCATGAATCCTAGCATTCAGGAGGCAGAGGCAGGTGAATCTCTGGGTTCGAGGCCAGCCGGTCTACATAGTAAGGTCCAGGCCAGCTGGGACTACTGGGAGACCCTGACTCCAAAAATGACCAAAAAAAACAGCTTTGAGTTGACTTTGACCAAAACTTTTACCATCTTTTATCCACACATTCAAAAGTGTCAAACCACATCAAAATAGAGATGATAGATATATATATATCATATATATATATCTCTTAAGGACCGTGTCTTCATCAAAAATCTATACATAAAGAACTTTACAAAGCCAACCCTTGCAATATAGTAATAAAAAGAATACTGATAAACAAGGATATTTAAATGTCAAAGTACTACTGATTCTATCAAGCCAATAAAAATGGGGTAAGGTATAAAAATGGGATAAGATTTTATAATTTTCTAATGATTTGAACTATTGCAGATAATACCTCATTTTTAAACAACACACCATTTCCATCCAACCATGGGAGGTTTAACTTTTTTTTTGGATGTATGGCAACTTTACATGTTTGCTACTTATGCTACCCTTAGTTTTCTAACTAGCAAGGTGTTTAACCTTCGCCAGATTAAGACCACTTAACGGTTAAGATTGAGGCTTTCAATGAGAAACTATTTTCCACATTAATTCCTTTAACAAATGCAAAGTGTGGCATACTATGTTTTTTAAATCATAAAGGTTACTAGATAAACTTTGGTAAACAGACAAGGAGACTTCAGAGAAACATATTGAAGTGATTTCATTTAAGAACGTTATTATGTGCTGGTTGAAAAAGAATATCAATATTAGTATCACTAAAATTAGTGAAACTATAACAATGTTTAAAATTTTAAAAAATTCAATTTCTTTTTCATCCTTATCGGGCCAGGAACATGGTATCCTTTTTGAAGAAATCGTCATTTCAGGAATGGCAGCTCTCTTGATGTGTCCAATTTCTGTTCTGCTCCATTCTTCCTTTAATATCCTGCTTACTCGAGGGTAAATTTCAACAGGCTGGACCTCAGGGAGTGGTCTTTGTTTTAGCATTTGCACGCGCTGGCGGACATCATCAATTTTTTCAAGAAATCTAAGTGGAGACTCTTCTTGTAAAGCTGTGGTCACTGTCATCAACTCAAGCTGTTGCTCTCTTATTTCCTTCACTCTTTCAATCTGTGGTGTGTATTCTTGATTAATCAGATTGCCAACATCACAGAGCGCTGTGAGGAAAAATTTTTTTTTCTGTTCTAATATATCAGTAAGCTCCTTAAAATACTGGAGAACAATTTCTTTATCACCTTGGACCATTTTCTCAGAATGAGATTTTTGTTCTTCTAGCTTTTCAATAAGATGAGTGATATCAGTCCAGTGTGTGTCAGTTAACTGTTTAAGCAACTTTTGAGGTGTATCCTTTTCTTTCAGATAGGCACTCTGAAGATCATCTATAGGATGTCCATGATGTTGGCCTATAGTAAGGCAATGGCCACAAACTAACTTTTTATCTAGTAGACAGTAAACATTTAATGGTTGCCTGTAATGCTCAGGGCAGGTGACAACATCTGGGTGGTCTTCTTGCTGATATTTTTCAATAATTGCTCTTAATGCAAAATTAACAGGTAAAGATTCTATACCAGTTGAAGCAATTTCAATAATACTTCTGCAATTAGGACACTTGAGTGGAATTCGTAAAGGCCTCCATATATAAAAGTTACCAGATGCCTGAAGAACATTTTCCAAACAATTTCTACAGAATGTATGAGAACATGGTAGTACACGAGGATCTTCAAAAATACTGTAACAAATGGGACATGTTAACTCGTCCTCAAAATTGTGCATTTCCTGTCAAAACAAAAAAAGTATAATACACATCTAGCACGTGTTATTTAAGGTTTTAAGCATAACCTCCAAACTGTAAATATACTGTATTTGTCATTTAAAAAGACTAGTTTACTGAGTTTCTTTTAATGAAGCTTTCTTTGCAATTCAACTCATTTACATCTATTCAAATTACTATAAGCTACTCTATACATCTAATACAAAAATCAAAAGAAAAATCAAAACTGCACGTCGTGAACAGGAAAGAGTAAACATTTCCTTTGCATAAGCTTATTAGCTTTTACTGTTTGATTAAAAGGAAGAAAATGTCCACTCAGAAAATATACTCTTTTTGTCCTGTTTCTTTGAGAAGGCATCTCACTCTGGCCCAGGCTACTCTGGAACTCACTATGCAGCAGACTTGTCCCAAATTTGCAGGACTCCCATTCTGGGACTGCAGGCATCTAGTTTCTCTAAAAATTATCATCAAGGTAAGCATAGAGCAATCCATACTTTCTCTTCTTCCCCTACCTCTTTTCCTCCCTCTTTATTTTCTGGTGCTAGGGATCAAACTTAAGGCCTTGTATATGATATGATAGGCAAGCACTGAACACTGAGATCCCTAGATCCAGGCCTATAGCTTTCTAAAGTAATTTTAACTTCAAGATTTGGAGAGGCAAAAATTTAACTTGCAATCAAAATCAGTTTGAAAGATAAGAGTTGATTATGGGAACTTTGAAGTACTCACTGAAAAGTGAAAATCTAGAACACTAATAGTAAAGAAGATAAAGGTGAGGCCAGAGAGATGGCTCAACAATTAAGAGCTGCTCTTCCAGAGGTCCCATGTTCAATTCCCAGCATCTTCATGACAGCTAACCCCTGTCCTTAACACACCAGTTCCAGGGGATGTTTGTTTAGCTTTTGGCTCCTTAACTACCATCTGCCAAACTTTCAGTGTCCTACAAGTCTCAAGGTAAGCTTGCTGGTTCTCTAGATTAGGTGACTTTGTTAATCAACACTACATGATTACCACATAGCACTTAAGGATTTTATTTTTGACAATTTTGTGCTGGGTGTGGTGGTACACACCTTTAAACCCAGCACTCAGGAGGCAGAAGCAGGTGATCTCTGAGAGCAAGGCCAGCCAGGTCTACATAGGGGGCTGAAGGTAAGCTGGAGCTACAGGGAGACCTTATCTCAAAAAAAAAATTTTCTAACATTTTATAATAAGCACAATTGAATCAGCAGTAGGCATTCTCTGGTTAAATGAACAACTGCCTCAAGGTACCAGGGTTAATAGAGATCTTGGTTTTTAAAAATAATAAAATCTCCCTCAGAAGCTGACATTGAAGAGTCCATCGGAAAATACTCCAAATCTTGTCTGACTGAGAATATACAGGATCCATAATGAGCCAAGTTGTGGCATTAAGAGGGGAAGGCTTGACCTGTGTAGTACTCCAGGAAATTCATTAGACAACAGTATAGAAAATGACTGTCATTGCAAAGAAATTCAAGTGAATGAAGACTAAGAAGTCTTTACAGCTGGCCCCCCACCCCCCACCCCACCCACACAGAGCTCTGAAGTCACAGAAAACTTATCCAAAAAAATAAACATGTTCTTGGAGCATTTCAGGGACATCAGAAAGCACAATGGAGGAATACAGACTCGTTAACTGTGAGGAATAAAATTGAGCAATGACATACATTCAGTCTAGATTACTATCATTAACTGACGTCTAAGTGGCAAAACTGGAAAAAAAAATTAGATGTACCTGTCAAAAAGCTAGGGAGGGGTTGGGGGAAATGTTTTAGTGAGTAAACCACCTGCCTTGTACACAAGCTCAGATCCCCAGAACCCATGTAAGGTCCTACAGCAAGATGGAGGCAGAGACCTGAGAATCCCCAGAAGCCTAAGGGTCAGCTAGCCCGGCTGAGGTGGTAGCCAACAAGAGACCCTGACTCAAAGACAGCGGACCTCCACGTGGGCCCTTCTATACACACATGCTCAAACACACAGATTTTTTTTTTTTAAACCTAAGAAATTGGCTGGAGAGATGACTCAGCCGTTAAGAACACTGGTTGTTCTTGCAGAAGACCTGGGTTCGAATCCCAGCACCCACATGGCAGCTAACAACTCCAGTCCCAGGGAATCCGACACCCTCTTCTGACCTCGCGGCACTGCACAACATTGGTGTACTTACCTACATGCAGGCAATACACGCATATACATAAAATAAAAATAATAAATTTAAAAATTTTTTTTAAAAACCCTAGGAAACAAATTCTGAGAATCCATTTAAGAATAACTCAACTTTCTTAGAATGAGAATATTCACACTATTAAAAAGAAAATGTAAAAGAAAAAAAATTACTACATATATTTTCTAGAATAAGCAATCTTAAATTTAACTAAGCTATAGGAAGTTTCCAAACAATAAAAATATCAATCCAGCTGGGCATGGTGGTACACGCCTTTAATCCCAGCACTTGGGAGGCAGAGGAAAGTGGATCTCTGAGTTCAAGGCCAACCTGATCAACATAGCAGGTTCCAGGCCAGCTGGGGCTACAGGGGAACGGTGTCTCAAAAAGACCAAAAAAGCAAAAAAAAAGAAAGTGAACAAATATGTGGCTCTGAGCTGTACTCTCAAAAATGATTCAAGGGGCTGGAGAGATGGCTCAGTGGTAAAGAGCACTGACTGCTCTTGCAGAGGACCCAGGTTTGATTCTCAGCACCCACATGGTAGCTACGAACTGTCCTTAACTCCAGTTCCAGGGGAATGAAGCCCTATGGTAACTCAAATGGTGACTCAAATGGTAACTCAATGGTGACTCAAATGGTAAAAATGCTATGTATAATACAATGAAAACTGAAAAAAAAAAAAAAAAGGTTTTCTAACTTGTTTGCCAACTATCAGTCATTCATCTGCCAATTTAAAGTCAATCTGTATTATTTTATACTTTTATAAAAAGCTAAAAAAAGTAAAAGTAACCCATGTAAAAATCTACTTTCCTCCAGTGAATTCTAAAATCTGAAGTAAAAAACAGTTCAAGATATCTGACTTCCCTTTAAGTTATCAAGTAATATAATTTTTTTTAATCTTGGAAAGAAAGCCAAAACTAAATTGTTGACTTTAAATTATTTCACAAATTTCTTGTGTTTAAACATAAAGCATTTCTGAATTCCTCATTTTGTGAAGTCTTTCATTACGGGGGCTTGATAGAGCTTCTGTGACATCTAACCAGGATATAATATCCAAACAGATGGACTATGAAGCAGTATCAAAAATACTACCTGTTCTTGATGCATCTCAGTTTTAAGTCAATGCTTTACTGCCTTTCATCTTGGAACATGAATAGTCATCAAACATTCATTACTTTTAGTTTAGTTTAGTTTTTTGAGACAGCGTCTGCTGTATTCCAGGCAGTCCTAAACTCATAAGTAGCTCTGGGGACTATGAATTCCTGATCCTCCTGCCTCCACCTACCTGAGTACTGAGATTACAGGCCATCCACCACCACACGGGGCCAAACTGCATTTTACAACCTCTGTAAAGAAATGTTATTTACCACATCACAGAGCTCAATGACTTGTCATAGGACTTCTGGTGAATCAGCTCCAAGTCTGGGAAAATTCCAATGGTGCCACCCACCCAGTCTGGGGCTCACAGCTCTGTGGCCCTAAGTGATAAAACATCTACTTCATGAAACTCAAGACTTAAGAAATGCTGAGTCAGGGTAGTCCCAGTACTCAGGAGGCAGAGGCAGGGGATCTCTGTAAGTCCAAGGCCAGCCTGGTCCACATAGCAAGTTCTAGGCCAGTTGGAGCTACAGGAAGACCCTGGCTGAAAAAAATATAAGACCAAGAAGCTACTAATGTAACTTAACCAGAAATCTAAATGAGAAGTAATGACTTTGAATTTTTCTATACTTTTCAAAGTGAAAATATATTTGATGGAGAACATTCAGCAGCACTCTTGCTGAAGGGCAATTTCAACACTAATTACCTAAAATCAAAACTTCACTTTACCAGACTAAATGATGGTACCCTGGCTAAGTGAAAATGAATGCAGATCAATGTGTAAATGCAGAGTAAAGAATACAAATAACTTAATAAATTCAATATGAAAATGCATATATATCAAATAATACAATTTATGTGCACATATACAGACATATACATCCTTGTAAAAATCTTTGGAAGATTTGAGGTTTTAGGTCAGAGGCAAGTTGTTTACTTTCATTTTGTTTCTTCCATAAGATAAGGTTAGACTTTTACATACCACCAACATAACATCTTTTTTTTCTTTTTCTTTTTTTTTTTTTTTTAAGACAGAGTCTCCCTTGTAGCCCCAGCTGGCCTGGAACTCACTACATAGACCAGGCTGGCCTCGAATTCACAGAGATCTGGCCTCTTGCTGGGATTAAAGGTGGTCTTCATCACACCCCACCATAACACCTTTTTTCTTCAAGGGACTTTAAATTTCACCTTATAATTCAGATCACACACTGTTAAAAATTGACTGAGAATTTCCTCATATCCACTTAACATCCCAGAACTTACCTGGTTTTTTGATCTCGATTTGTATACTGAATATACTTTCTCTTCAACTTTTCCAGATTCTTTTATTGTTATTCTAAAATTAAAACAATTTAATGTTTCAGATTCATTTTCTCAAAAAAGACTGTTAAGTCACTGTTTACCTTCCCTATGCCTGTTTATTTGGTTGTTAGGTCACTGTGTTTACCTTCCCTATAGCTGTTTATTTTTTTGTAGTGACGTATACCAACAGTTAAAGCCTGCAGCTGATGTCCCTCACATCTTGACAATCCCAACAATTTTTTGACACACAGGCCTTGTTACAGCATCCAAGCATCTATGAGCGCTGAACCGTATTAACCAATATGATGATGCGTCATAGTTCTGTTTAGTGTTTTCTTGTTTGGGGTTATTTTTGTGTTTCTTGTTTCTGAGACCAGGTATAACTCTGTAGCCTTCGCTTCGCCTCTCCAGTGCTGGGACTACAGGCGTGAACCAACACCGAGGGCAACAAAGTTTAGACTGCCTACACTCGGCAAAAGCACGACCCGGGGAAAGTTCACCAGCTCAAAACTAGTGATTTGGGTTACTCCCATCTACACGTGTGCCCATCTCTCAGGTCTGCCACGGAAATGCTGTGGGACTCTTGGGTCAGTGTCCCATCTGTAAAATGGGTTTACGTCTCAAGCGAGCTTCGAAGAGGCTCCAGCTGGCCTTCCCCGCCCAGGCTGTCTGTCCCCGAGGCCCGGCGGCCCGCGGGGTCCTGAGTGGGGAGCTGGCTCCCCTCCCACCTACAGCTCCACACTCACCCTGCCGCGAGCAGCGCTCGGACGGCGGAAGCCGAGCCCTCCGCTCCCTCCCGTCCCCAGAGTCCCGGCGGAGCGCCCAGGCAGCCGACGCTCGGGAAGGAAAGGGATCGGAGCAGGCGGACTCACCGCGAGGCGGGACGGTGCGGACGGCGAGACAGGGCGCGGGCGGCGGCTCCCAGCAGCTAGTGGCGAACGCCCAGGGCCGCGGCGCGCGGAGACTTCAGGTGCCTGGAGAGGCGGGGCCCGCGAGCCGCGCGCTGCTCCACACCAGCAACTTTCCTCTGCTCGGCGTCGGCCAATGGGAAAAGGCCGGGGCGGCCTTTGAAAACCAACGGCCGGCGGGGCGGGGGCGG